AGACCATATTCCTTGCAGACTGGTTTGATAATGCTTGCTTTATTTAAACCCTTAGCAAATTTCTCTTTTTGTATCAGCAGCATTTGTATGATTTTCCTCCAGTTATCTTATATTTCCCTGTGACAAGGTGAGAATTATTGTCTGCTCTCTCAGGTGCCTCCTTAATGTTTGCTTCCCATTTCTCTGAAAAGAGGAAAAAACCCAAACCCAACAGCAACAGCAGCAGCAACAAAAGTCTCCACAGCACTGCTGTCTCTTTCAGGGCAGCAAGAGGTTATGATGTAGCCATCCTAACAGTAAGCTAGTCCTTGTCATTGACAATTAATGGCACGTATGTCCTTGTGAAGGCACCAGACAAGTTCCAGTCAAAATGGGAGAGACACGTAACATTTCAAAAATGGCTGAAATTCTATTGAATGCTTCTATTCACCATATAGAAAGTGAAAAATGCATCAGTCTTTACAGAAAGAACAAGTAGGTACAAGATGCAATCACTTTCACCACTTGCTTTTTTCTTTATATGCCTTTTAGCTGTGCTGTTCAGCACTGTGTTTGTAGAGGTTTATATACTCTGACAAATTCTGGTTGCTACCTTAAGAGCATTTATTCCTCATGGAAACTCATTTCACATCTCATCAGTTACAGCAATGAGATGGGGAATCTGATTTCTTGTTTCTTGGAGGTATGTGCATGCTAAGTTGATGGCACAGCCACAGCCTGAGCTGAACTGAGTCCTGGCTTCAGCTCCCCCACACCTCCTTTGGGCTGGGTGTTACCCAGGTTTAGAGTTTCATTCTCTTTAAAAACAGACTTCAGGCATTTCCAAAGAAAAGCACTGCAATGGAAAACACACTTTCATTTGAGCTCCCCTTTAGCAAGTTGGACAACAGTAGATGTGAGCATTTGATTAAGGTGTGCGGCAGCCATTTTGATGTATTGCTTCGTCATTCTCTTTCATGAGCCCTGCTAGATAACTCAGTATCTCTTATGGTAGACTGTGCTGAGATGGGTTTTGAGACACTGCCAGCACTTGGCCTGTTTGGCCTGTGGGGTTCGTGACACTATGTGGTAAGTCATGAGTATCTGTGCATGAGCTGTGATCTCAAGCAAACCCAGAAGCCGTGGAAAAATCACACAGCATCACAAAGCTCCTGCAGCTCCCCCTCCCCCTCCCATAAAACTATCTGTTTACCCAAGTTATAAACCCATTTACTTCTGGAATCTGCTGAGTGTTTTGGCAAAGTTATGGCAAACTTCGAGGTCACAGAAAAGACCTGAGATCTCGTTGTTAGATTTCCCAGGGAAATAAAGAAAAAGATACCTCTTACCATGGCATTCTCATTTTCCCATTTTCCCTGCTGTTGCATTACTTCTTACAATTGGACATGGCAGGAAAGAGCTGTACAGTCTGTTCAGGGAACTGGAGCAGCACTCACAGCTTGGGGAAATTAAAGGCTACACGTGATAGTTATTAGTCCTAAGATACTAGGAGGGAGTGCTTGGTGGTGAGTACAGTGTGAGGCTTTGAACAGGAGCTAGGGAGGAACTAAAAAATATTAAGAGCATAAGGAGAAGATAACTTGAAATTTTGGGACTAGAAGCCTCTCTCTTAACAAACACTCTAAGCATTAGTGTTCCCAAAGCTGCTGGCATGCAGCCACTCTAGCACTGCAAGGCACTGACCGCATAGTGGTCGAAAGGCTTCAGAAAGGAACTCACCATTTCTGGAAAATCTGCCTGCCTGTCTTTCTCATCCAGAAATATTTGATGGCTCAGAAATGCCAGACAACTTCTAAGTGATTCCCAGTTGCATTTTTACTGTTTAGGACAAGTGCATTAATGCGCAGGACGAACTATTCTGGTGGGTCCAGGAGCTCAACAGATAAAGCTCCAGGATAGCAGTTAGGCAAAATCAGCCTGGCAAGAGAAGCAGTCTGGGGTCTACAAGATTCAGTTCCAGCTGCTACAAACACTTTCTTTGCTCCACTACCTTACATTTCCTTCTGGTGTCCTTTGCAAGTATATCAATGAAATTGAGACTTGTGTTTGAATCTTTCCTACATGCTCCTGCAGCAGAATGCAGAGATTTTTAACCAAATTAACAACAGTGAGGCCTTCATAAAGTATGAAGCTCTAACCTTCATTATGCAACTAAGGGCTTTTTGGTTACAGTTAGTATATTTCAAATTGGCTTCAGAAAGTGTAAACCAACTCCATGATTTTAAACCCAGTATGTTGAAATGCTCCTCCTCAGTGCTTTTACTGGAAGGCATTTAAATAAAATTAATGTTAAAGTGCCTAAGGAAGATAAAGAATAAAACTGATTAGCTGTGTGTGGCTAATAATAATAATAAAGTAGAAAATATTTTGGACTAAAATTAATGGACACATCTTTAGTATGTCATATGTGAATTTAACTGCATGACTTCCACTCATGTTAATGGGAGCCACTTGGCTAAATTTCTGCTCAGTGAGCTGTTAATTCATCCCTAAGGGATTAAGCTTAAACTTAAATTTACAAAAGCCATTTAATGTTAAAGCTGAAACACTGTCTTGAATTCATATGGTTTTCAGAGAACAAAGGAGTAATGAAATAAATTATCAGTGATGTATTAGTGTGAATGTTGAATTTTCTGAATTTAGTGTTTAATTTGTGGTGGTCAAAAGTCATGACATCCTGGATCTGACCAATACCTGGTCAGTGTGATATTCTGGTGCCCCAGCACCGCATGCTCCCAAACATAGAATAGAAAAATAAGTGCTTGATAACGTTTATAATATTATTATTTTTTTTCTGGCTACTGTCAATAGTTGGCTTAAGTTGACACAGATGTGACCAATGATTCTTTCCTTTAAATTTTACTTCCAGTTCTCTCAGAATCTTTCTGAATTATGTGGCACTTATATTTAAGGGTTGAAATATATAAATTAGTTTCCTTTCAATCTCTCTTGCTCTTTTCTATCTTTCACTGTGTCCTAATTCCCATTTTTTTTCGAAATTAAATTATCCAAAACTTTTGAGCCACTTTCCTTACATATGTTTTTGATGTATATCTTCTCCCATATTTTCCTCGATGTGTTTTTTCTGTTTCTATACATATTTTCTGCTCCTGCCTCTATCCTTCTAAGCATCCTAACGCCTGCTGCTTTTCTAAACTGCATTTAGGACTAGTTACATAGGCCTTCTGAAGTACCTCATTGCCTTCTCTGCTGTTACAAGTGTATTATCTCCTGTGCTAGCTGTCATTTTTGCCACCTCTCTGTTCATGTCCCTCCAGATTGATCATACATGAAATAGCACTTAATCTGTGTGCTGGAGGCACCCACAGATAGCCGCTTCCTATGTAGAAAATTGTGCATTTCTTCAACCTCTTTGCTAGTTATCTCTTAACCATCTTCTAATCCATGTCTGATCTTGTCTGATTGCTCTCTGAAGGAAATGCCAGGTCTTTTAGCATTCTTGTACAATGTTGTTCTGTATAAATATTTATTCATACATAAGGCATTCTGAGTTCATTTTATCAGTTCATAGTCATCTAAGTGGTTTATACTGTTAATTTTTTTCTAATTAACTTTTCTACTGCTGAGATAAGACTTTCTGCTCTGTAATTACCAGGGTCATCTGCTGCATCTTGTTTAAAATTAGATAAACTTTTAACTATTCTGTAGCCCTAGCTGATGCTGTATTCTGCAGTTAATTGTGATAAAAAATCTCTTTCCTTGGAAAAGAGTAACCGCATGATCACAGCAAGGCAAAGGTTTGACCTTCAATGGCCGTCTGCTATTGCAGCCCTAGTGTCTCCCAGGTTAATGCCTTTAAAGTTAATTTTCACTTGAGATTTAAGCCAAGTGGTAAATCAGGTTCTTGTAAGAGATATATATTAGAAATTAAGTCAGAATGGCATGCAGCCTCCTACTTTCAGAAAATTGAAAAGATAATATCAAGTAACTTTCCTAGATATGTTCAGTTTGGTAAACATTGCTCACACTGGTTCTGAAAATACTGATTTAGAGGCAAGAAGATAAAAAGTTGTTCCCTTGTTTCTTTCCTCTCTAAATGTGTTCTGAATGGATGAAATATAAATCACAGAATCATAGAATCAATGGTTTGGGTCGGAAGGGACCTTAAAGATCATCTATTTCCAACCCCCTGCCATGGGCAGGAACACTTCCACTAGACCAGGTTGCTCAAATACCTGTGCAGCATGGCCTTGAATACTTCAGAGATGAGACATCCACAACTTCTCTGGCAACCTGTTCCAGCGTCTCACCGCCTTCACAGAAAAGAATTTCTTCCTCATATCTAATCTAAATCTGCTCTCTTTCAGTTTAAAGCCATTCACCCTTGTCCTGTCACTACATGTTGTTGTAAATATTATAATGGACTTTGCTCTTATGCAAACATAAAGTCTTTTAAAAAAATGCTGACTGGGAAAGAATCTAAGATTCAGCTGCTTCCTACAGGTAATAAATCTGGAGCGAAAAGAGTGTACAAGCAACTTAACAGTCATTTCCAAGCATGGTTTGAGACGATGTAGCACAAAACAAGAGAAGTACAATCAAATGCCTCAAGCAACACATCTCTGTGTTACTAAAAGTAGTATTTCCAGTGGTATATATGTTCATATTGTATCAGTCCTTTTCTGGGAAAAATCAGTCCAACATAAGCCTCATTCTTGAAAGAAAGCTCAGGAGGATGCTGTAGTAGCATCCACACAGAAAGGTGGCAAAAGTTCTCTCAAATTTCTTCTAAATCAACTTATCCATAAATACCTGTTAACATTCCTGTCTAACATATATATAATTTCTTTCCAGTCTGCTCATTCATCACTTCCAAACACAATTTGCTCAGTGATGTGGTGGCATCAAAGATGTTAATATTAAACTTACTTAAAATCAGGCCTTCCTGACATACATGGCTCTGTGAAAAGCCTTCAGAATACGTGCAAGCAATAAATACCCAAAAGAAGTACCAAAGAAAATAAAAAGAGTGAAAATACCTCATGATATTTTTTCACTGTTTTCCCTGACATGCACATGCAGGATTTCCAGTTTGAAGTCCCGCAGCCACAGTTTCCTCCACAGCGCTGGACAAGGAGGCATCGGGGGAAGAAAACGACATTTGTCAGCTTCAGTTCCTCCCTTAAATTGACAGAATAGTTTCTCGGAGTGCAGCTGTAACGTTTCACATCATCATTCAGCCTATCCAGGTCAACTGCAATGCAAAAGAAGTTTCATTAGTAAGGTCTGAGTGGGACATTCCTCTGGTTTGAACCACTCCCCAGGCAGTCAGTAAAACAAGTGGTGTGACACTAGGTGGAAAATTTGTGAAATATAGCAGTGATTTCCAAGCAGACAGACATAAACCCACCAATTTTAAATCATTAAAGGTGGCCATCCAGGCTCTCATCCTGTGCCCACTGACTCCCACAGCAGAGCTCACACTGACTATAAAGGTGAAGGGAAGGCTTGCCTGAAATATTGACCTGAAATCTGAAGGCTGGTTATTTTATTTGCTTTGTCACTGATCTGCTGCATCCTTCGGTAAGACACTTTCTCTCTGCTACTCTTTTCCCTCCTCTGCTTATACCTGGTTTACTTGGATGATGAGCTTTTTTTTTTTTTTTTGTTATTATAGGCATAACTCCTTTTGCCTAACCGCTGGCATTCAAAAGGGAACACTTTAAACAAGGCTATTGCTATGATTATTAGAGAAAGGTCTTTGGAGAGTGATTCATCCCTTCCTCACAAGGGCATTTAGGACAGGTGGCATGACTTGCTTTCTGAAGTTGCCTGTTTGTACCGTTTATGGATAGAGTCTAGATAACTCTCTTTTAGATGGTCAAATCAATCTAAGCAATATTAATTTCAGCTGGTAAATGTTACTATAATAGGCATACGAATAAATACAATTAAAACTAATGAGCTTCATTGAATGCCAGTAGTTGGTTGATGTTTAAACGCCTGGTATTCTCTGTGAGATATGTCATGCAAACAAGTAGTAAAGCCAACCATAAAAATAACTTATAGACTATCAACTGTGAGTTTAAGTGCTGTTTCTAGCATTAGCTTGTAAACCTAAAACAAAATTAAAACCCCCATCCATAAATATATTTTCCATAATTGTAACACAGATAAAAGTAACAAATTTAATGGCTTTCATTTCTCTAGAAGTTTTCAGAGTTCTTTTTCTCTCTTTTTCTGCTTTCTTCTTTTCCTTATGCTTCTGTCCACCAAGTAAGAGTTCAAAAGCTCAGGAATTCCATCAGGACTGGAGGACGTGTCAATTGGTGTTGAGTTCCCACCCCAAACAGTATGTACTAATAGAAACACCATCAGGAAAATAGGAACTGTTTAAATGAGAAATAAGATAATGGTGTAATGTTGGTGAACATATATTTTCCTGGGCATGTTTAATAGGTCATCACCATTTCTGGTCCTGATAGTACATAAGAATTTGTTTTACTATAAGCATGTGAAAACCTTCCACAAAGACACCTCTGTGACTCAGTCCTTGTCAACATCACAAAGTAAACTGTGGAAAAAGCTGTGATTTGTAAATATCATGCACCTTTACTTTCTGGCATGGAGATATTCACAAGGCAGATATGCAAGATGCAACTCGTAAATGTCAGAAGTGCTATTATAGAAAATCATAGTAGCTTCACTTTTCTGGCAAGGTGTTAGTCAATGGAAATTTAGCAGATAAATTGTGATTCTATAGCAATTGTGATACATCTTACCATGAAATCTCAGTGGCTCTCTGCAGAGAGCTAGCATCTTTTCAAAAGAGGTATAGATCATCCTCCTGATAGAAGCACAAAATCAATAGGGCTGCTGGTATACTCATGCGCTGGGAGAAAAATACACTCCAAATGTCCACAGCCAAGACTTACAAGTCCAGAGAATATTGATTTCTTTGTTTTAACAGATGATATTTTCTTGTCTACTACCATTCTCCAAAGCCACCCCTCCTCACTGTAGGGTCTCAGGCTAATTCTTCTCACAGGGAAGTGTTTCCCTCTACTCTAAATGCTCTTGTCGGGACTTTTGCCATCAGCTTTGCTTGCCACTATAGCAAAGAGGTATTGGCTACTATTCATTTTAGCCAGTTGATGTAAAGGGAAAATTAACCAATGCAAAAAGAGAGCAGATAATTTTGTTTCCTCATGATTAATTAAAATTTTTGAGAGGAAAGCCTGGATCATCCACACTCATGCAGCAGTCTATAGGAATGAATACTGATATGAGCAGGTTCCTATCAGGACAGGCTGAACAAGGACTAGGATGGCATTTACTGATGGTGCCTCTATACAGTTAGAATAAAATTCTTAAAGGCTTAAATCAGCCTTAATTCAGCTGACCTAATGTAGGAAACAAGTCTTCCAGTAACAAGCTGGTCATTAAAGAGGGCCCAGACACAGGTCACATGAACTGATTGACATCTGTGTCCAGGAGATGTCCAGGGGACTGAATAAAATTTGATTTATCACAAATGAAATTTCCCCTCTGTCTCAATAGTCCCCCTTCCTGTATTGAGCTGATACCTATTATCACTGGTGCATTATCAACAGAGAAATGAGTCTGTAATAAGATTGGCAGAGAGGGAAAACACCAGCATTCAGAGAGCCAGGGTGGGGGGGCTTTCCTGCAGAGTCCATATTATATTCATCACAGTGTTATAAATATTAGCTTCAGTACTTGAGCTACTTCATTTAAATGGCAAGGGGTGACCTGGCAAAGGGCTTTCACTGGAGGGAAGGCTTTGCTCACTAGCTTTCAAAAACCTCATTTTGTTGACTTTCAGAAGTCTTTGCAAGGTCTCTTAGGCTGTAGCTGAGTCAGTACTGTGGAGAGCTGTTGACTTGCTTGAAGCATATAAGGGAATAACCAGATATTTAGGGTAATTTTTTTTTCCTATGCAGTATGAAGGAATCAGTTGTTTTCAGTGAGGGCTCAAAACTTTCTCTGGATGCATTCTTAAGGAATTCTGTAATCAACTGGTAGCAAAATACATTTTATGTAGTGTATTTTAATATGTTGAACTATATTTGAAAAATCTATGGGAAATTTTCCAGTGGAAAATTGCATGAATTCTCCTTGGTGTCTTCTCAAGGCATTTTGATCCTGACTTAGTAGCACTTTTTGGGATGCCAAATCTCAAAGTTATCAGTTAAGATATGAGTTCTCTGCACTTTATCACATCTTAGGTATCAGAGTCTAGGCTGGAATGGACAAATACAATAGCAGAAAGGTCTCATTTTCGTGATCTTGAAATAATAAAAATAACTTCAAGCAGTGGAAGAAAGGCTAAATAAGGGGTTTAAGAGATACACAAGTCATTCTCCATAAAAACAATCATATGGAAATAAACACCTACACTCTTTTTGACTCTGGTCTACAGAAATCCACTGCGGTGGGACAAGGTGAGCACACAATGTCTTCTGTGAACAGGGCATACTGTACTTTGACGGCATCATACTGATACACAAGAACACTTCCTAGTGCCTAATTAGCTTTAGACCATGGTTTGCAATGCCCTAACAGAAGAACACGTTTTGCTCTGAACAGATCTCTGCTGAAAGCTTCAATATGCATTTTTCCCTGTCTTGGGATTGTTTTACTGTCTGGAGCCAGTCCATTTCCTCATATGACAATGAGATTCTACGGTACAGTCAGTTTTATGCATCACTTCACTGATGTAACTAAAATGTTATCAAGCCTTGGTGCGATTGCTGTGAAATCCTACTGCTTTTCTTATAAGGACTGAAACCACTGGAGTTCTTAATTTAAAACTAGAACTAAAAGGTTTTCTAGACTAGATGCAAATAATTTCGAAGTGCTGTTACAGAATGTTTGCATCAGATTTCAATTTAAAGGCAAGGCAGACTTAAAAAAAAATACACTGGAGCAGTAAGTTGGAAAGTTGGGGTTCACTGTCCCCTCCTCCCTCTTAAGTCCTATGCCTACATTCATCCCCATTTCACATAGTACTATGGCATGTGCGTGCCTTGAAACATTGATCTTAATCAGAGGAAAGGACTGATATCAGTGACTGCAGCTAATACCAAGTTTTATTTAAGATGGGACAGCCTTAAAGATTCCAGAGAAACCCTGTGCTGCTGGTCACCAATTAATTTTAAAAAGACAGGCATTCTGTTAGGGGTTCTTTTAACACTTTACATTCCAAGTTCATACATGGCCCTCACATTGCTATATCTGAATATTTTACACTTGTTTTCACTCATCAGCCACAGACCAGAGCTGAGGTGTAAGACATGGTATCCAACTTGCCACAGTATTCCTATACCACATGTCAAGGCCATCTACAAGTCAGGCAAGAAGGATTCAGGCAGCCTTAGCCTCATCCCAGCATAAAATAAAGGGACAAATTCTCCTGAAAGCAATATTCAGGCACATGAACAACAAGAGGGTGATGGGAAACCGCCAGAATATATTTACCAGGGCAAATCATGATGGACCAGCCTGAGATTCTGCTATAATGAGATAACTCTTGGTGGATGAGGTGAAATCAGCAGTCATCTGCTGGGTCATCTGCTGATTTTTGACAGTGATCCATAGCACCCTTGCAGCCAGACTGCTGAGACATAATGGGATAGCTGCACTATAAATTTGGTAGATAACCAGAAGGCCTAAGAAGCTTGAGCAAAATGGCCAGCAATTCCAAATACAACTGGTGGCTGGTTACTAGCACGCTCCCCAGTCAGTAATGCTGGGGTAAACACTGCTGAAGATCTTCACTAATGATCAAGACAATGGGATGATATGAACCCTCAGCAAGTTTGTCAGTGACATCACATTAAGGGAACTAGTCCATGTGCTGTAGGGCTGCCATTCAGAAGGATCTCTCAGCAGTCTATATAAATGTGCTGGCAAGAACCTCAGCAGGTTCAGTGATCGCAAATCAAAATTCCTGTGTCTGACGTGGAATAACCCCATGCATCAGTCCAGACTGGGAACACACTGGTTAAGCAGAAGCTTTGCAAAAAAAAAAAACACTTTAGCATCCTGGTAAACAGCAGATTGAACATGAGTCAGCTGTCTGCCTTGCAGTGACACAGGCTGCATGCTGAGCTGCATGATTCTCTGAATCAGATGCATTAGGAAGAATTTGGCAGCAGGTTGAGGGAGATGAATGCTCATGTCCATTCAGCTCTTGTGAACCTGCATCTGCAGTACTTTGTGCAGTTTTGA